TACTGACTAAAGTGCGCACGCTCAGAGGTAGGGAGGTGGCGACGCACAGCAAGACGTGCAGCAGCATCGCGGGTGGCCCACTTAGAGCGGACAGCGGGATCAGCATCAGCAGCAGGAGCAGGGTAGGCGCCAGAGGTGAGATCAAAGAGAGAAAGGTCGTCAGCCCTATCGCACTGTAAGAACAGCTGCAGGTCGTCTAACCAGACCTCAAAATCAATGGCGCGACCCTCAGTGTCAAAAGCTAGGACACTAGGGGTAGCCATGGCGACGACAGCGACGCAGTGCAAGCAGTGGGGAAAGAGCTCGCAGTGTCAGTGGGACTGTGCTCACCAGGCAGGGCAGGTCGTGCAGCTATGCAGAAAGGCTGCTCAGCGACTGGGCGGCTCGGGTGCAGGGCGGCTCGGCGGCTGGGCGGCTCGGGTGCAGGGCGGCTCGGCTCCCGGGCGGCTCGGCGGCAGGGCGGCTTGGGTCCCGGGCGGCTCGGCGTTGGGCGGCTCGGCTCACGGGCGGTTCGGCTGCTGGGGCGGCTCGGCCAGGAGATGCAGGGGCGGGGCCGTCAGGTGCAGCGGCGAGCCGGCAGGTGCAGTGGCGGGCCGGCAGGTGCAGGCGGCGGGCCGGAGGGTGCAGTGGCGGGCCGTAGGGTGCAGTGGCGGGCCGGCAGGTGCAGCGGCAAGGCCGTCAGAGGCGGCGGACCGGCAGGTGCAGCGGCGAGGCCGTCAGAGGCGGCGGGCCGCTGGGTGCAGCGGCGGGCCGACAGGTGCAGCGGCGGGCCGGCAGAAGCGGCGGCGGGCCGGCAAGGGAGGCGGCGGAGCCGCGTCAAACAGGCGGCGGGGCCGCGTCAGGGGAGGCGGCGGAGCCGCGTCAGGGGAGGCGGCGGGGCCGCGTCAGGGGAGGCGGCGGGGCCGCTTCAAACAGGCGGCGGGGCCGCGTCAGGGGAGGCGGCGGAGCCGCGTCAGGGGAGGCGGCGGGGCCGCGTCAGGAGAGGCGGCGGGGCCGCGTCAAACAGGCGGCGGGGCCGCGATCTGGAGAGGTGGCGGGGCCGCGTCTGAGGGACAGCGGGGCCGCGAGGGAAAAGGCGACCCGAGGGGTCGCTAAAAAAAGGCGCGCCTCAGGGCGCGCTTCGGTGGGCCCTAAAAAAAACGGTCCTAAGGCAGGACCCGCTCTATACCATGTGAAGCAAGGTAAACAGGAATGAAATGACTATGGAAGATTGGGTACAAATACAACCCTAGAAACTCTGTACCCCATATGTGCTACCCCACTATAGCCTACAGAAACTATGTCATATAAATCTGACACAAGGGTCTAGCGAGAACAAAATTGCAAGAACAAGGGCCTAGCGTGTGCAAAATATAAACAACAAGGGCATAGCGCGTGCAACATAGCAAGAACAAGGGCCTAGCGTGTGCAAAATAAAAAGAACAAGGGCCTAGCGTGTGCAAAATAGCAAGAACAAGGGCCTAGTGTGTGCAAAATAGCAAGAACAAAGGCCTAGCGTGTGCAAAATAAAAAGAACAAGGGCCTAGCGCGTGCAAAATGAAAAGAACAAGGGCCTAGCGTGTGCAAAATAGCAAGAACAAGGGCCTAGAGTGTGCAGAATTGCAAGAACAAGGGCCTAGCGAGTGCAAAATTGCAAGAGCAATGGCCTAGCGTGTGCAAAATTGCAAGAACAAAAGTCTAGCGTGTGCAAAATTGCAAGAACAAGGGCCTAGCGTGTGCAAAATAAGAAGAACAAGAGCATAGCGTGTGCAAAATAGCAAGAACAAGGGCCTAGCGTGTGCAAAATAAAAGGAACAAGGGCCTAGCGTGTGCAAAAAAAAAAGAACAAGGGCCTAGCGTGTGCAAAATTGCAAGAACAAGGGCCTAGCGTGTGCAAAATTGCAAGAACAAGGGCCTAGCGAGTGCAAAATAGCAAGAGCAAGGGCCTAGCGTGTGCAAAAAATCAAGAACAAGGGCCTAGCGTTCGCAAAATAGCAAGAACAAGGGCCTAGTATGTGCAAAATTGCAAGAACAAGGGCCTAGTATGTGCAAAATGGCAAGAACAAGGGCCTAGCGTGTGCAAAATCGCAAGAACAGGGGTCTAGCGAGAACAAAATTGCAAGAACAAGGGCCTAGCGTGTGCAAAATAAAAACAACAAGGGCATAGCGTGTGCAAAGTAGACAGCAACTTCCCAAGCTTTGCACGGCAGCTGGTTGGGCCGAACGTAACTTTGGCCTTGCTTCTCTGCAGCCGGCGGACAGAGAGGAGGTTAGCAGACAAACCTTGAACCAACAGTACATTCCCCAGCCCCACAAGCCCCCCATTGGCTCCCATGACCTTGGCATTCCCAACACCAATCACAGAGAGCAAAGCACCTGAAGCGGCAGCCACAAACTTTATCTTCCCGGGGGGTTTCACCTCATCAAGCAAATCTGCCCGTGGAGTCATGTGACTCGTGCAACCTGAATCGATCACCTAGTGAGTGAGGGGGTGCATCACAACCTTCCCAACTGAACCCACATCACCCTCACTCCCTTTCACATCCTCAACCATGAGGAACATCCCAGGGTCGGCTTTACCTTGTGCACCATCACCTTGTGCACCTGAACCTTGCACAGCGCCACCTCGTGCGCGTTCACCACTTGGCGGCTTCATGCCTGGAGGCGCCCATCCTTCAGGCCGGCTGAAACACTTGAACCATGGGTGTCCAGCCTTCTTGCAGTACCAGCACGCACCCTCCATTCGGGTGCTCCCCCTGCCACCAGAGCTCCCATGCCCCTCGTTGTTGTCACCTCGACCTCTTCCTCTGCCAAAGCCTCTCCCACGGACTCGGCCTCTCCCACCCCCTCTTCCTCTGCCTGCTGCAGCTCCACACCCCTCAGCAGTTTTGTTGGCAGCACCACCTCCCGTGTGACGCCTGAGGAAGTCCTCCTGCAAGATCTGCTGCCGTAGCCACTCAGGTGTCCACTTGTCCTGCTGAACGTTGAGGGTGGGGATAAGGTTGTCCCACGAGTTGTCGAGCACCGAGATGATCTTGGTGCACTGCTGCATCTCCGACACCTTGCTGCCCGCCGCTGCCATCCTCCCATAGGTGTCCTTGATCTTGTCAAGCACCGGTTTCACATCGTCTCCCGGCCGCATGGAGAGGGCAGCCAGCTCCTTCTCCAACACGATCACCATCGGCAGCATGTTGGGCTGAACCACGTCGCGCAGTAGCTTCCACGCCTTTGGTCCGGAGTCATCGAGCTCCACCAAATCCTTGATGTGCTGAAACATGTCGTTGTTCACCGATTGAAGGATGAGGTCGTACAGCACCGCGCTTCGCTCAATCCACAGATCGCGGGCATCTCCTTCCTCGGGCATCTTCTCCTCTCCCATAGCCAATTTCAGCAGCTTGTAGCGCTTGAAGGCGCTACTCATCCACCCACTCCATTCTTCATAGTTGGAGCCATCCAATGCCTCAATCTTGGATGGTGGCGGCTCACTCTTCTTCTCAGCTGCTTCTCCACTCCCTTGACTCATCTCCTCAGCTCCTTATCACAGGTTTCAGCTCCCCCCTTTGCTGGTCACAATGTAGATCCATATTATTTTCACAAGTGACGGCGCCAACGAAATTTCGGCAGAGTTTCCCCTTAGCGGAAGTCACATGCAACCTCCACAACTCCACTTAGGCACGCCCACAGGCCATGGTGGGTCTGGGAGGATTTTCACACTTCAGTAGACTCTCCACAAAGTCCTTAATCAGCTCTGGTACCACTTGTTACAGACTAAGGACGGAGTCTATGAAGATTATGTGTCTAACTTTCTCAAAATCGTTGGTCTCAATTTCTGGACAGAATCGTCGAGTTCACAAGAAACGCCGTCGACACAAAACGCACTGTCCAAACTTCACGAAACTCTAATATGTAGTAGCCCTAGACCGTAGCTACATGTTCCAATTTGAATCGTATCCAAAGGTGAAGTATTTCTCGACTTAAGAATTTCGGCGCACAGGGGGGTATGCTGCCATAGAGAATTTACTCAATCACAAGAGTTTTCACAATTCTCACAAGTTCTACACAAGAGAGTTAGAGTGGCACTAAACCAGGTAGGAGGGAAGAGGAGGACGAGAGGGAAGGTCACAAGGAGTCCCCAACCAAGGAAACCCCCATGCCACACAATTTCCGTCTCAATAGGCAACCCAACTTTCACCCTTGTCATTTTCCCAACCTCCCAAATCCACCTCACCCAACTTGGCCACACTTGCCAACCTGGTTTGGTTTCTCCCAACCACTTGGCAGCATCTACAGTGATGGGTACGAATTCCCCAACCCCCACAAGTCTGTACCCCATGTTGAGTCAACCCCACAATTTCCCATAGTCACCACAATCAAACACGCAATGCATACGAACTCCCAACGTTCGTAACTTTCTTGTTCGTGCTCCGATTGAAGCGATACTTGGTTCACAGAAAGCTCTTGAGCAGAGGAGTAACTTCAGATATCTGCTCAATCCAAATAACATTCACACACACTCAGAGAATCCAAACCACACCAAACACAAATTCTTGCATACGCTCACACCACGCATGCAACGCACGAACACATGATGGGAGGCAGACAGACGTGAATGCGTATGGTAGCATCACTCAACAGAAAGTGGGAGAACGGGGCGGGGTGATGGAAAGCGGGAGAATGGGGCGGGGTGATGGAAAGCTGGAGAATGGGGCGGGGTGATGGAAAGCAGAAGAATGGGGCGGAGTGATGGAAAGCGGGAGAATGGGGCGGGGTGAAGGAAAGCGGGAGAATGGGGCGGGGTGATGCAAGGAGGGAGAATGGGGTGGGGTGATGGAAGGAGGGAGATTGGGCCTGGGTGATGGAAAGCGGGAGAAGGGGGCGAGGTGATGGAGAGGGGGAGAATAGGGCGGGGCTATGAAATGCGGGAGACTGGGGCGGGGTGAGGGAAAGCGGGAGAATGGGGCGGGGTGATGGAAAGCGGGAGAATGGGGCGGGCTGATGGAAAGCGGGAGAATGGGGCGGGGTTATGGAAGAAGGGAGAATGGGGCGGGGTGATGGAAGGAGGGAGAATGGGGCGGGGTGATGGAAAGCAGGAGAATGGGGCGGGGTGATGGAAAGCGGGAGAATGGGGCGGGGTGAAGGAAAGCGGGAGAATGGGGCGGGGTGATGGAAAGCGGGAGAATGGGGCGGGGTGATGCAAGGAGGGAGAATGGGGTGGGGTGATGGAAGGAGGGAGATTGGGCCTGGGTGATGGAAAGCGGGAGAAGGGGGCGAGGTGATGGAGAGGGGGAGAATAGGGCGGGGCTATGAAATGCGGGAGACTGGGGCGGGGTGAGGGAAAGCGGGAGAATGGGGCGGGGTGATGGAAAGCGGGAGAATGGGGCGGGCTGATGGAAAGCGGGAGAATGGGGCGGGGTTATGGAAGAAGGGAGAATGGGGCGGGGTGATGGAAGGAGGGAGAATGGGGCGGGGTGATGGAAAGCAGGAGAATGGGGCGGGGTGATGGAAAGCGTGAGAATAGGGCGGTGTGATGGAAAGCGGGAGAATGGGGCGGGGTGATGGAAGGAGGGAGAATGGGGAGGGGTGATGGAAAGCGGGAGAATGGGACGGGGTGATGGAAAGCGGGAGAATGGGGCGGGGTGATGGAAAGCGGGAGAATGGGGCGGGGTGATGGAAAGCGGGAGAATAGGGCGGGGTGACGCAAAGCGGGAAAATGGGGCGGGGTGATGGAATGCGGAAGAATGGGGCGGGGTGATGGAAAGCGAGAGAATGAGGCGGGGTGATGGAAAGCGGGAGAATGGAGCGGTTGATGGAAAGCGGGAGAATGGGGCGGGGTGATGGAAGGAGGGAGAATGGGGCGGGGTGATGGAAAGCAGGAGAATGGGGCGGGGTGATGGAAAGCGTGAGAATAGGGCGGTGTGATGGAAAGCGGGAGAATGGGGCGGGGTGATGGAAGGAGGGAGAACGGGGAGGGGTGATGGAAAGCGGGAGAATGGGACGGGGTGATGGAAAGCGGGAGAATGGGGCGGGGTGATGGAAAGCGGGAGAATGGGGCGGGGTGATGGAAAGCGGGAGAATGGGGCGGGGTGATGGAAGACGGGAGAATGGAGCGGGTGATGGAAAGCGGGAGAACGGGGCGGGGTGATGGAAAGCGGGAGAATGGGGCGGGGTGATGGAAAGCGGGAGAATGGGGCGGGGTGATGAAAAGCGGGAGAATCGGGCGGGGTGATGGAAAGCGGGAGAATGGGGCGGGGTGATGGAAAGAGGGAGAATGGGACGGGGTGATGGAAAGCTGGAGAATGGGGCGTGGTGATGGAAAGCGGGAGAATGGGACGGGGTGATCGAAAGCGGGAGAATGGGGCGGGGTGATGGAAAGCGGGAGAATGGGGCGGGGTAATGGAAGGAGGGAGAATGGGGCGGGGTCATGGAAGGAGGGAGAATGGGGCGGGGTGATGGAAAGCAGGAGAATGGGGAGGAGTGATGGAAAGCGGGAGAATGGGGCGGGGTGATGGAAAGCGGGAGAATGAGGCGGGGTTATGGAAAGCGGGAGAATGGGGCGGGGTGATGAAAAGTGGGGGAATGGGGCGGGGTGATGGATAGCGGGAGAATGGGGCGGGGTGACGCAAAGCGGGAAAATGGGGCGGGGTGATGGAACGCGGGAGAACGAGGCTGGGTGATGGAATGCGGCAGAATGGGGCGGGTTGATGGAAAGCAGGAGAATGGGGCGGGGTGATGGAAGGAGGGAGAATGGGGTGGGGTGATGGTAGGAGGGAGATTGGGCCGAGGTGATGGAAAGCGGGAGAAGGGGGCGAGGTGATGGAAAGCGGGAGAAGAGGGCGGGGCTATGAAATGCGGGAGACAAGGGCGGGGTGAGGGAAAGCGGGAGAATGGGGCGGGGTGATGGAAAGCGGGAGAATGGGGCGGGGTGATGGAAAGCGGAAGAATGGGGCGGGGTTATTGTTGGTGCAACCCTATGGTTTGCACTCGACTTGTTGTCCGTGTGCGTGCATGTGTGTGTGTCTATGGAATGGTATGAGGGCATGGGATAATATATATTTAATGCTTATAATTGTGTGTGAATGTTGAGTCATGATGTCGAGTGTATGTGTCGAGTCAATAGCGAGTTATCGCTAGACGCGTGTTACGCGGTCGTTTGTGTCTCGCGCGCGGTTTCTATTTTGTCGTGCGCGGTTTCTCTTTTGTCCTGTGTCGAACGTTCGGTGTATCGCAGGTGTGTGCAGCAGACCCATCAAGAACTCAAGGATGAGTTTGTGATGAAGAGCCGAGCCTTGGTGTCAATCCACAAGTGACTTCAAAGCTCGCCAAAAGGGTACACCTCAAGATATTGAAGATAGTTACATTACTTTGTGTAGTGTAACATTTCACTTGGTGTAGGCCCTAGTGAAGGGTAGTTTCGAGACCCTTCGTGGTTGGGGACAGTGTGGCACTGTTCCACATCACTGTACCTCGGCTCTTGGGGTTTGTAGGAGCTGGGAGTCATTCCCAACTCGTAACTCTTCCTAACTCTTCCTATCTTGTGTTCTAAGACCATAGTGGCTGCCATAGTGCCGTTCGTTCAAACCAACCCTGTGTCGTCAATACTTGGTCAAATCGTGCGATCTAAATTGCCTATTGTAGGCGACAATAAGGCGCTCCAGATCCAAGTTGAATCAAGTCATTTGAAGCTGTGACCAAAACGCTATGAACGTTTGAAGCCGCTGTGCAGAAATCCGACTGTGCACTCTATCTTTCGTTTTAGGCACATTGGAGCCTACTGTGACTATAACAAGTGGTATCAGAGCCCCTCGGAGCAGTTTCGACAATGGCTGGACCTGAGGAAAGGGGTGGCAGAGGTGCTGGTGGCAGAGGAGAAGCCCAAGCTCAAGGCCAACCCCGTGACTCAGCCATGGCGCCCGTGCAACCAAGTGTTGGCCCATCTAGGGATGAGCCTAGAGTGTTTGGCCTTGACAAGTTCAATGGTGACAACTTTGCTGAGTGGTCCTTCAGAATGGAGAACATATTTGACCACTATGACCTGCTGGAGGTGATGGAAGGAACGGAGAAGCGTCCCGAGAACGACCCGGAGAAGAGCCCGTGGGTGCGGAAGAGCGCACAAGGCTACCTCCTACTTGGGCAAGCGTTGGGGAGCAGCCAAATCCATCACATCAAGCCTTTCCAGCGTGAACCAGAGAAGGGACCAAAAGCATGGGCTGCTCTCAAGGGTGTACACGCTCCTGCAACAGCGGCGGTAGCTGTGGTGTTGGAACGGCAAATGGCGACGTTACGAATTGAAGAGGATGAAGCGGTTGAAGAAGGGGTGCAGAAATTCTTCGACTTGTTGACGCGGCTTGAGGGAGCTGATTTGAACTATAGTGAGCTCCAAAAGAAGACCAAGTTGCTGGCCCTACTCCCGGAGTCATGGTCCTCGCTCATCATCAACCTTAATCGTGACTTGCCCCGCCTCTCGCTTGAAGACGTGAAGCGAGCTATCCTTCAAGAGGATTTCCGCCGCCGTGAGTTGGCGAGTGCGGATGGCGCTGGGGCAGCGAGCATCGGCCGTGGATATGGTCGAGGAAGAGGCAGAGGACGAGGGGGAGGAAGGTTTGGTGGCAGCAACTTCGGCGGAGGCCGTGGGAGTGGCGGTTACGGCAGCGACGAGAAGAACTACGGACGTGGTCGCGGCCGATTCGACGGCGAGTGTCACTATTGCCACAAGAGCGGACACATGTGGCGCGACTGCTACAAACTCCCTGATGGTTGGACCCCTGCTCAAGGCCAAGAGGGTAGAGGAGCAGGAGGAGGGAGAGGAAGAGGCCGTGGAGGCCGTGGCGGTCGCGGTGGCGGAGCTGCAAACATGAAGAGCGGAGACAACGACAAGGACCCGAGCGACGATTGATACCCGGGTCTATTCTACTTCGTGTCGACGCAAGTACCGGCTGGTCCAGAGAAGGATGAAGGCTTTGAGGAGCCAGCAGCTGTGGGGAAGGTGACCCTACACCCCCTGGACTATTGGGTGATCGATAGTGGCGCTACCTATAGCATGACACCTCGCCCGGACTTGCTCACCGAACTCGAGCCGTCACCGGTGAAGCATGTCACATCGGCTTTGGGGCAGCGAGCAGAGGTGAAAGGCATGGGGAAGGCCATGTTCAAGGGTGCTGATGGGAAGATGGTGGGCCTCAAGAACGTGCTTTGGGTGCCCAGCCTTGCTGCAAACCTGATTTCCGTGCGGCGGTTGGCAAAGGCCGGCATGGACACTAACTCGAAGGGAGCCAAGACCTACACCGCAAGGCTTGGCGATCGGATTCTTTGGGACCTTCATGAGGACAGAGATGTCTACAACGAGATGTGGCAGATCCCTGTGGTCCCAATGCCTAAGGAGAGGCAAGTGGCAGCAAGCGTCAGCACTAAAGGTGGAGCGGTTGGTAGCGGCGATTGCGCGGACGGTCGCGCTAAGGAGAAGGAGTCCAAGAAGTGCAATCTTGGAGGGACCAGCAAGTTCAGTGAACCTAAGGAGAGTGGTGCAGCAACCAAGGAGCAGCAAAAGGGTGAGGAGAACCCCGAGGCAACAGCGGAGGAGGACTACGGAGAGAGTATGTGGGGCGCTATTGCGAGCGCGGCATTCTCCAATCCAACTTCGGCTACGGGGGAGTGTGATTGGCTCACCTTGCATCGGCACATGGGGCATGTGGCCCTGCCCATCTTGCAGCAGCTAGTGAAGAATGAGATGGTTGCTGGCATACGTGTGAAGGGGGAGCCCGATGAGGTGCTTGGCTGCCCGACGTGCATGCAAGCCAAGTTCACCCGTTACCCATTCTCTAGTTCGGAGGTAACGGCTAAGGCACCACTTGATGAGGTGGTGATGGACGTGGTGGGCCCCCTGAAGCTTGGAGCTGCTGGAGCTGAGTACTTCCTCACTATTGTTGACGTCTACACCCGTATGACTTGGGTGTACGTGCTGGCCAAGAAGAGCGACGTGGCTGAAACGTTGAAGGCGGATTGGTTCCCGATGGTGGAGCGGCAACAAGACCGTCTAGTCAAGTCAATCCGCACCGATCGAGGGGGAGAGTTCCTGAGCAAGGAGTTTGGGTTGTGGCTGAAGAAGAATGGTATTCGACACTCCCTCACCATGCCATACTCCCCTGCAATGAACGGCATCGCTGAGCGAGCGAACCGCACAATCACGGAGGCGGCACGCGGGTTGCTCATTGAAGCCGGGCTACCCGACTATTTCTGGCCTGATGCGGTGCGGAGCGCATGTGTGGCCAAGAACAGAGCCTTGACTCATGTGGGAGCAGACAAATGGGTGCCCTATGTGGAGTGGCTAGGAAGGAAGCCAAAGGTGGATATGCTTCGGGTGTTCGGGTGCATGTGCATGGCGCTTGTGCCTAAGCATCTTCGGCACAACAAGCTTGGTGCCAAGGCGGTGTGGGCCGTGCACTTGGGCATGGCTCAAAACAGCAAGGGATGGCTTCTTTGGGACCCATTCACCAAGAAGTTTTTGGTGAGCAGGGACTGCAAGTTCATGGAGAACTTCATGTACAAGGATTGGAAGGCGGAGAATGAGGCGAAGATAGGCGTGCGGTTTGGGGAGGTGAAGAGTTCCGGTTTGGAGCATGTGGAGCTGCCTTTGGAGCTGAGCAGCGGCAGCACAACCACGAGGCAATCCTCCCTTGTGAAAGGGGGAGAGGAGGCCACTGATGCAGAGGAAGAAGAGGAGGAGGTGCAGCAAGTGAGTGAGCGTGCACCGTCACTCCCTTCCCGTACCACGAGTGCTCCACGGAATCGAGCCACACCGCAGCAACGCCAAGGCCTTCAAGTCGCTGCAGCTGAGGAGGAAGGAAGGGGGAAGAGGAGAGTTCAACCCCCTAATAGGCTGACCTATGATGCACTTGGAAAGCAAGGCACGACAGCCCTGGCCGGAGCGGCAATGATGGTCGGAGACGATGAGGAGAGTGACTACGAGGAGTGTGCCTTCGCGTTCTTCTCTCCGGTGGAGATGCCGGGAGAACCAGCAACTCTCAAGGAGGCTTTGGAGAGTAGTGATGCTGAGGAGTGGAAGAAGGCTTTGGAGAGTGAGCTGAAGAGCATCGAGGAGAATGACACGTTTGAATTGGTGGAGCTACCGGAGGGGCGTACGGCGATAACGTCCAAGTGGCTCTTCAAAATCAAGTCGGATGCCGACGGCAAGATCGAGCGTTACAAGTCTAGGCTTGTAGCCAAGGGGTACCAGCAGAAGGAGAAGGTGGACTTCAAGGAGCTGTTTGCCCCTGTGGTGAAGCCGACGACGCTGCGAACCCTATTCGCGGGAGCCGCCATCAAAGGATGGGTGGTGAAGCAAATGGACATTGTGACGGCATTCCTTAACGGCATCCTTGAGGAGGAGATTTTTATGGCACAGCCAGAGGGGTTTGATGATGGTAGTGGCAGAGTGTGGAAGCTGAAAAAGGCCCTCTATGGGCTGAAGCAGGCCCCTAGGCAATGGTACATGAAGCTGCGCGAAGTGTTGGAGGAGATCGGCTTCACTCCCTCAACGGCCGATCACTCCTTGTTCATGCTTGGCGAGGGGGAGCAGAGGAGCTTTATGGTGGTTTATGTGGATGACATTCTCATATTCTCACCCTCCTCTGACCTTGTGAAGGAGGTGATGCTGAAGCTGCATGACAAGTTCAAGTGCAAGTCCCTTGGTGACGTGAACTTCTACCTTGGGCTCCACATCGAACGAGACGTGGAGAAGCGGAGCATGCGAGTGCACCAACGGAAGTACCTGGAGGCGTTGGCTGCCAACTTCGGCCAGAGTGAAGGTCATGTGGCTACTCCCTTTCCCTCTGGGTTCAAGTGTGTGAAGGGGCCAGAGGAGGAGAGCGTTGGAGAAGAGGAGAGGCGCCGATTTCACTCGTTGGTGGGCAGCCTCATGTATGCGGCGGTAAACACCCGACCGGACGTCGCGTTTGCTACCGGGCAGCTGGCTAGGGTTGTGCAATGCCCTAATGAGGAGCAGGTAGCAGCTGGAATGAGGGTGTCCAAGTATCTTGGCCAAACAGCGACCGTTGGGCTGCAATACTCGGCGGCGGCACAAAGGCACCAAAAGGGCGCGGATGGTGTTGAACCCGGGCGTTTGTTCCTCACCGCCTACTCGGATGCTTCATATGCATCAGAACCAGAGGACATGACAAGTGTGGGAGGCTTCATATGCTGTGTTGGTGGAGGCCCAACTGCTTGGGAGAGCAAGAAGCAGGTTGACCAAGCTTTGAGCTCGGTGGAGTCCGAATACATGGCACTCTTCCGTGCCGTACGGGAGATTGTGTGGCAGCGGCGTTTGTTGGCTGAATTGGGGGAGGAGCAGCAAGGACCTACCCCACTGTATTGTGACAGCCAGGGTGCCATTGCTCTTGCTAAGAACCCTGTGTTGCATGGACTCACGAAGCACATGAGGGTGAAGTGGCATTGGACGAGGAGCATGGTAACCGCGTGTGAAGTTGAGTTGCGCTACGTTAAGACCACGGGGCAGCCGGCTGACATGATGACCAAGAGGCTGGTGGAGCAGCAGCATTGGAAGTGTTGCAAGTTGGCTGGGATGGCTCTGAACTGACAGAGCAACACATCCAAGGCCAACAATCCGAGGGGGAGTTTGTTGGTGCAACCCTATGGTTTGCACTCGGCTTGTTGTCCGTGTGCGTGCATGTGTGTGTGTCTATGGAATGGTATGAGGGCATGAGATAATATATATTTAATGCTTATAATTGTGTGTGAATGTTGAGTCATGATGTCGAGTGTATGTGTCGAGTCAATAGCGAGTTATCGCTAGACGCGTGTTACGCGGTCGTTTGTGTCTCGCGCGCGGTTTCTATTTTGTCGTGCGCGGTTTCTCTTTTGTCCTGTGTCGAACGTTCGGTGTGTCGCAGGTGTGTGCAGCAGACCCATCAAGAACTCAAGGATGAGTTTTTGATGAAGAGCCGAGCCTTGGTGTCAATCCATAAGTGACTTCAAAGCTCGCCAAAAGGGTACACCTCAAGATATTGAAGATAGTTACATTACTTTGTGTAGTGTAACATTTCACTTGGTGTAGGCCCTAGTGAAGGGTAGTTTCGAGACCCTTCGTGGTTGGGGACAGTGTGGCACTGTTCCACATCACTGTACCTTGGCTCTTGGGGTTTGTAGGAGCTGGGAGTCATTCCCAACTCGTAACTCTTCCTAACTCTTCCTATCTTGTGTTCTAAGACCATAGTGGCTGCCATAGTGCCGTTCGTTCAAACCAACCCTGTGTCGTCAATACTTGGTCAAATCGTGCGATCTAAATTGCCTATCTTTCGTTTTAGGCACATTGGAGCCTACTGTGACTATAACAGTTATGGAAGGAGGGAGAATGGGGCGGGGTGATGGAAGGAGAGAGAATGGGGCGGGGTGATGGAAAGCAAGTGAATGGGGCGGGGTGATGGAAAGCGTGAGAATAGGGCGGTGTGATGGAAAGCGGTAGGATGGGGCGGGGTGATGGAAGGAGGGAGAATGGGGAGGGGTGATGGAAAGCGGGAGAATGGGACGGGGTGATGGAAAGCGGGAGAATGGGGCGGGGTGATGGAAAGCGGGAGAATGGGGCGGGGTGATGGAAAGCGGGAGAATGGGGCGGGGTGATGGAAAGCGGGAGAATGGAGCGGGTGATGTAAAGCGGGAGAATGGGGCGGGGTGATGGAAAGCGGGAGAATGGGGCGAGGTGATGGAAAGCGGGAGAATGGGGCGGGGTGATTGAAAGCGGGAGAATCGGGCGGGGTGATGGAAAGCGGGAGAATGGGGCAGGGTGATGGAAAGAGGGAGAATGGGACGGGGTGATGGAAAGCTGGAGAATGGGACGGGGTGATGGAAAGCGGGAGAATAGGGCGGGGTGATGGAAAGCGGGAGAATGGGGCGGGGTCATGGAAGGAGGGAGAATGGGGCGGGGTCATGGAAGGAGGGAGAATGGGGCAGGGTGATGGAAAGCAGGAGAATGGGGAGGGGTGATGGAAAGCGGGAGAATGGGGCGGGGTGACGGAAAGCGGGAGAATGGGGCGTGGTGATGGAAAGCGGGAGAATGGGGCGGGGTGATGGAAAGTGGGGGAATAGGGCGGGGTGATGGATGGCGGGAGAATGGGGTGGGGTGACGGAAAGCGGGAAAATGGGGCGGGGTGATGGAAAGCAGGAGAATGGGGCTGGGTGATGAAATGCGGAAGAATGGGGCGGGGTGATGGAAAGCAGGAGAATGGGGCGGGGTGATGGAAGGAGGGAGAATGGGGCGAGGTGATGGAAGAAGGGAGAATGGGGCGGGGTGATGGAAAGCGGGAGAATGGGGCGGGGTGATGGAAAGCAGGAGAATGGGGCGGGGTGATGGAAAGCGGGAGAATAAGGCGTGGTGATGGAAAGCGGGAGAATTGGGCGGGGTGATGGAAAGCGGGAGAATGGGGCGGGGTGATGGAAGGAGGGGGAATGGGGCGGGGTGATGGAAAGCGGGAGAATGGTGCGGGGTGATGGAAAGCGGGAGAATGGGGCGGGGTGATGGAAAGCGGGAGAATGGGGCGGGGTAATGGAAGGAGGGAGAATGGGGCGGGGTGATGGAAAGCGGGAGAATGGGACGGGGTGATGGAAAGCGGGAGAATGGGGCGGGGTGATGGAAAGAGGGAGAATGGGACGGGGTGATGGAAAGCTGGAGAATGGGGCGTGGTGATGGAAAGCGGGAGAATGGGACGGGGTGATGGAAAGCGGGAGAATGGGGCGGGGTGATGGAAAGCGGGAGAATGGGGCGGGGTAATGGAAGGAGGGAGAATGGGGCGGGGTGATGGAAAGCGGGAGAATCGGGCGGGGTGATGGAAAGCGGGAGAATGGGGCGGGGTGATGGAAAGAGGGAGAATGGGACGGGGTGATGGAAAGCTGGAGAATGGGGCGTGGTGATGGAAAGCGGGAGAATGGGACGGGGTGATGGAAAGCGGGAGAATGGGGCGGGGTGATGGAAAGCGGGAGAATGGGGCGGGGTAATGGAAGGAGGGAGAATGGGGCGGGGTCATGGAAGGAGGGAGAATGGGGCAGGGTGATGGAAAGCAGGAGAATGGGGAGGGGTGATGGAAAGCGGGAGAATGGGGCGGGGTGATGGAAAGCGGGAGAATGGGGCGGGATGATGGAAAGCGTGAGAATGGGGCGGGGTGATGGAAAGAGGGAGAATGGGGCAGGGTGATGGAAAGCGGGAGAATGGGGCGGGGTGATGGAAGGAGGGAGAATGGGGCGGGATGATGGAAAGCGGGAGAATGGGGCAGGGTGATGCAAAGCGGGAGAATGGGGCGGGGTGATGGAATGCGGGAGAATGGGGCGGGGTGATGGAAATAGGGAGAATGGGGCGGGGTGATGGAAAGTGGGAGAATGGGGCGGGTTGATGGAAGGAGGGAGAATGGGGCGGGGTGATAGAAAGCGGGAGAATGTGGCGGGGTGATGGAAAGCGGGAGAATGGGGTGGGGTTATGGGAAGCGGGAGAATGAGGCGGGGTGATGGAAAGCGGGAGTATGGGGCGGGGTGATGGAAGGAGGGAGAATGGGGCGGGGTGATGGAAAGCGGGAGAATGGTGCGGGGTGATGGAAAGCGGGAGAACGGGGCGGGGTGATGAAAAGATGGAGAATGGGGTGGGGTGATAGAAAGCGGGAGAATGGGGCGGGGTGATGGTAAGAGGAAGAAAGGGGCGGGGTGATGGAAAGCGGGAGAATGGGGCGGGATGATGGAAAGCGTGAGAATGGGGCGGGGTGATGGAAAGAGGGAGAATGGGGCAGGGTGATGGAAAGCAGGAGAATGGGGAGGGGTGATGGAAAGCGGGAGAATGGGGCGGGGTGATGGAAAGCGGGAGAATGGGGCGGGATGATGGAAAGCGTGAGAATGGGGCGGGGTGATGGAAAGAGGGAGAATGGGGCAGGGTGATGGAAAGCGGGAGAATGGGGCGGGGTGATGGAAGGAGGGAGAATGGGGCGGGATGATGGAAAGCGGGAGAATGGGGCAGGGTGATGCAAAGCGGGAGAATGGGGCGGGGTGATGGAATGCGGGAGAATGGGGCGGGGTGATGGAAATAGGGAGAATGGGGCGGGGTGATGGAAAGTGGGAGAATGGGGCGGGTTGATGGAAGGAGGGAGAATGGGGCGGGGTGATAGAAAGCGGGAGAATGTGGCGGGGTGATGGAAAGCGGGAGAATGGGGTGGGGTTATGGGAAGCGGGAGAATGAGGCGGGGTGATGGAAAGCGGGAGTATGGGGCGGGGTGATGGAAGGAGGGAGAATGGGGCGGGGTGATGGAAAGCGGGAGAATGGTGCGGGGTGATGGAAAGCGGGAGAACGGGGCGGGGTGATGAAAAGATGGAGAATGGGGTGGGGTGATAGAAAGCGGGAGAATGGGGCGGGGTGATGGTAAGAGGAAGAAAGGGGCGGGGTGATGGAAAGCGGGAGAATGGGGCGGGATGATGGAAAGCGTGAGAATGGGGCGGGGTGATGGAAAGAGGGAGAATGGGGCAGGGTGATGGAAAGCGGGAGAATGGGGCGGGGTGATGGAAGGAGGGAGAATGGGGCGGGATGATGGAAAGCGGGAGAATGGGGCAGGGTGATGCAAAGCGGGAGAATGGGGCGGGGTGATGGAATGCGGGAGAATGGGGCGGGGTGATGGAAATAGGGAGAATGGGGCGGGGTGATGGAAAGTGGGAGAATGGGGCGGGTTGATGGAAGGAGGGAGAATGGGGCGGGGTGATAGAAAGCGGGAGAATGTGGCGGGGTGATGGAAAGCGGGAGAATGGGGTGGGGTTATGGGAAGCGGGAGAATGAGGCGGGGTGATGGAAAGCGGGAGTATGGGGCGGGGTGATGGAAGGAGGGAGAATGGGGCGGGGTGATGGAAAGCGGGAGAATGGTGCGGGGTGATGGAAAGCGGGAGAACGGGGCGGGGTGATGAAAAGATGGAGAATGGGGTGGGGTGATAGAAAGCGGGAGAATGGGGCGGGGTGATGGAAAGCGGGAGAATGGGGCGGGGTGATGGAAGGAGGGGGAATGGGGCGGGGTGATGGGAGGAGGGAGAATGGGGCAGGGTTATGGAAAGCGGGAGAATGGGGCGGGGTGATGGAAAGCGGGAGAATGGGGCGGGGTGATGGAAGGCAGGAGAATGGGGCGGGGTGATGGAAGGAGGGGGAATGGGGCGGGGTGATGGAAAGCGGGAGAATGGTGCAGGGTGATGGAAAGCGGGAGAATGGTGCGGGGTGATGGAAAGCGGGAGAATGGGGCGGGGTGATGGAAGGAGGGGGAAAGGGGCGGGGTGATGGGAGGAGGGAGAATGGGGCGGGGTGATGGAAAGCGGGAGAATGGGGCGGGGTGATGGAAAGCGGGAGAATGGGGCGGGGTGATGGAAGGCGGTAGAATGGGGCGGGGTGATGGAAAGAGGGGGAATGGGGCGGGGTGATGGAAAGCGGGAGAATGGGGCGGGGTGATGGAAAGCGGGAGAATGGTGCGGGGTGATGGAAAGCGGGAGAACGGGGCGGGGTGATGAAAAGATGGAGAATGGGGTGGGGTGATAGAAAGCGGGAGAATGGGGCGGGGTGATGGAAAGCGGGAGAATGGGGCGGGGTGATGGAAGGAGGGAGAATGGGGCGGGGTGATGGAAGGAGGGAGAATGGGGCGGGGTGATGGAAAGCGGGAGAATCGGGTGGGGTGATCGATAGCGGGAGAATGGGGCGGGGTGATGGAAAGCGGGAGAATGGGGCGGGGTGTTGGAAAGCGGGAGAATGGGACCGGGTGATGGAAAGTGGGAGAATGGGGCGGGGTGATTGAAAGCGGGAGAATAGGGCGGGGTGATGGAAGGAGGGAGAATAGGGCGGGGCGATGGAAGGAGGGAGAATGGGGCGGGGTGATGGAAGGAGGGAGAATGGGTAGGGGTGATGGAAAGCGGGAGAATGGGGCGGGGTGATGGAAAGAGGGAGAATGGGGCGGGGTGATGGAAAGAGAGAGAATGGGGCGGGGTGATGGAAAGAGGGAGAATGGGGCGGGGTGATGGAAAGCGGGAGAATGGGGCGGGTGATGGAAATAGGGAGAATGGGGTGGGGTGATGGAAAGAGGGAGAATGGGGCGGGGTGATGGAAAGAGGTAGAATGGGGCGGGATGATGAAAAGAGGGAGAATGGGGCGGGGTGATGGAAAGCGGGAGAATGGGGCGGGGTGATGGAAAGCTGGAGAATGGGGCAGGGTGATGGAAAGCGGAAGAATGGGGCGGGGTGATGGAAAGCGGGAGAATGGGGCGGGGTGATGGAAAGCGGGAGAATGGGGCGGGGTGATGGAAAGCGGGAGAATGGGGCGGGGTGATGGAAAGCGGGAGAATGGGGCGGGGTGATGGAAAGAGGGAGAATGGGGCGAGGTGATGGAAAGAGGGAGAATGGGGCGGGGTGATGGAAAGAGGGAGAATGGGGCGAGGTGATGGAAAGAGGGAGAATGGGGAGGGGTGATGAAAAGAGGGAGAATTGGGCGGGGTGATGGAAAGCGGGAAAATGGGGCGGGGTGATGGAAAGAGAAGAATTGGGTGGGGTGATGGATAGAGGGAGAATGGGGCGGGGTGATGGAAAGCGGGAGAATTGGGCGGGGTGATGGATAGAGGGAGAATGGGGCAGGGTGATGGAAAGAGGGAGAATGGGGCGGGGTGATGGAAAGCGGGAGAATGGGGCAGGGTGATGGAAAGCGGGAGAATGGGGCGGGGTGATGGAAAGAGGGAGAATGGGGCGGGCTGATGGAAAGAGGGAGAATGGGGCGGGGTGATGGAAAGCGGGAGAATGGGGTGGGGTGATAGAAAGCGGGAGAATGGGGCGAGGTGATGGAAAGAGGGAGAATGGGGAGGGGTGATGAAAAGCGGGAGAATTGGGCGGGGTGATGAAAAGCGGGAGAATGGAGCGGGGTGATGGAAAGCGGGAGAATGGGGCAGGGTCATGGAAAGCGGGAGAATGGGGCGGGGGAATGGAATGAGGGAGAATGGGGCGGGGTGATGGAAAGCGGGAGAATGGGACGGGGTGATGGAAAGCGTGAGAATTGGGCGGGCTGATGGAAAGAGGGAGAATGGGGCGGGGTGATGGAAAGCGGGAGAATGGGTCGGGGTGATGGAAAGAGGGAGATTAGGGCGGGGTGATGGAAAGAGGGAGAATGGGGCGGGTTGATGGAAAGCGGGAGAATGGGGCGGGCTGATGGAAAGCGGGAGAATTGGGCGGGGTGATTGAAAGCGGGAGAATGGGGCGGGGTGATGGAAAGCGGGAGAATGGGGCGGGGTGATTGAAAGCGGGAGAATGGGGTGGGGTGATGGAAAGAGGGAGAATGGGGCAGGGTGATGGAAAGAGGGAGAATGGGGCGGGGTGATGGAAAGAGGGACAATGGGGCGGGGTGATGGAAAGCGGGAGAATGGGGCGGGGTGATGGAAAGCGGGAGAATGAGGCGGGGTGATGGTAAGAGGGAGAATGGCTTGGGGTGATGGAAAGAGGGAGAATGGGGCAGGGTGATGGAAACCGGGAGAATGGGGCGGGGTGATGGAAAGCGGGAGAATGGGGCGGGGTGATGGAAAGCGGGAGAATGGGGCGGGGTGATGGAAAGCGGGAGAATGGGGCGGGGTGATGGAAAGCGGGAATGGGGCGGGGTGATGGAAAGCGGGAGAATGGGGCGGGGTGATGGATAGCGGGAGAATGGGGCGGGGTGATGGAAAGCTGGAGAATGGGGCGGGGTGATAGAAATAGGGAGAATAGGGCGGGGTGATGGAGAGCGGGAGAATGGGGCAGGCTGATGGAAAGAGGGGGAATGGGGTGGGGTGATGGAAAGAGGGAGAATGGGGTGGGGTGATGGAAAGCAGGACAATGGGGCAGGGTGATGGAAAGAGGGAGAATGGGGCGGGGTGATGGAAAGGGGGAGAATGGGGCGGGGTGATGGAAAACGGGAGAATGGGGTGGGGTGATGGAAAGCGGGAGAATGGGGCGGGGTGATGGAAAGCGGGAGAATGGGGCAGGGTGATGGAAAGAGGGAGAAAGGGGCGGGGTGATGGAAAGTGGGAGAATGGGGCGGGGTGATGGAAAGAGGGAAAATGGCACGGGGTGATGGAAAGCGGGAGAATGGGGCGGGGTGATGGAAAGTGGGAGAATGGGGCGGGGTGATGGATAGAGGGAGAATGGGGCGGGGTGATGGGAAGCGGGAGAATGGGGCGGGTGATGGAAAGAGGGAGAATGGGGCGGGGTGATGGAAAGCGTGAGAATGGGGCGGGGTGATGGATATCGGGAGAATGGGGCGGGGTTATGGAAAGAGTGAGAATGGGGCGGGGTGATGGAAAGAGGGAGAATGGGGCGGGGTGACAGAAATCGGAAGAATGGGGCGGGGTGATGGAAAGAGGGAGAATGGGGCGGGGTGATGGAAAGAGGGAGAACGGGGCGGGGAGATGGAAAGAGGAAGAATGGGCCGGGGTGATGGAAAGAGGAAGAATAAGGCGGGGTGACGAAATCGGGAGAATGGGGCGGGGTGATGGAAAGAGGGAGAATGGGGTGGGGTGATGGAAAGAGGGAGAATGGGGCGGGGTGATGGAAAGAGGGAGAATGGGGCGGGGAGATGGAAAGAGGAAGAATGGGGCGGGGTGATGGAAAGCGGGAGAATGGGGCGGGGTGATGGAAAGAGGGATAATGGGACGGGGTGTTGGAAAGCGGGACAATGGAGCGGGATGATGGAAAGCGGTAGAATGGGGCGGGGTGATGGAAAGCGGGAGAATGGGGAGGGGTGATAGAAAGAGGGAGAATTGGGCGGGGTGATGGAAAGCGGAAGAATGGGGCGGGTTGATGGAAAGCGGGAGAATGGGGCGGGGTGATGGAAAGCGGGAGAATGGGGCGGGGTGATGGAAATCGGGAGAATGGGGCGGGGTGATGGAAAGCGGGAGAATGGGGCGGGTTGATGGAAGGAGGGAGAATGGGGCGGGGTGATAGAAAGCGGGAGAATGTGGCGGGGAGATGGAAAGCGGGAGAATGGGGTGGGGTTATGGGAAGTGGGAGAATGAGGCGGGGTGATGGAAAGCGGGAGAATGGGGCGGGGTGATGGAAGGAAGGAGAATGGGGCGGGGTGATGGAAAGTGGAAGAATGGGGCGGGGTGATGGAAAGCGGGAGAATGGGGCGGGGTGATGGAAAGCGGGAGAATGGGGCGGGGTGATGGAAAGCGGGAGAATGGGGCGGGGTGATGGAAAGCTGGAGAATGGGGCGGGGTGATGGAAAGCGGAAGAATGGGGCAGGGTGATGGAAATAGGGAGAATGGGGTGGGATGATGGAAAGAGGGAGAATGGGGCGGGGTGATGGAAAGAGGGAGAATGGGGCGGGGTGATGGAAAGCGGGAGAATGGGGCGGGGTGATGGAAAGCGGGACAATGGGGCGGGGTGATGGAAAGCGGGAGAATGGGGCGGGGTGATGGAAAGTGGGAGAATGGGGCGGGGTGATGGAAATAGGGAGAATGGGCCGGGGTGATGGAAAGCGGGAGAATGGGGCGGGGTGATGGAAAGAGGGAGAATGGGGCGGGGTGATGAAAAGAGGGAGAATGGGACGAGGTGATGGAAAGCGGGAGAATGGGGCGGGGTGATGGAAAGCGGGAGAATGGGGCGGGTTGATGGAAAGCAGGAGAATGGGGCGAGGTGATGGAAAGCGGGAGATTGGGGCAGGGTGATGGAAAGCAGGAGAATGGGGCGGGGTGATGGAAAGCGGGAGAATGGGGCGGGGTGATGGAAAGCAGGAGAATGGGGCGGGGTGATGGAAAGCGGCAGAATTGTCAACGGGAGTTGTGGGGTGGCCCCGTCCTCGCTTGGGCGGAGTCGACTTCGTTGTCGGGTGTGAGGGGAGCAGCCGACCTGCAGCAGTGGGCGAGCTGGTCGACGAGGAGGTCGACCTGCACGGGGGTCACTGCACGGGCGCCAACTTCAGGATGGCGCCGACTTCAGGGGAGGTCGACTTGGGAGTCGACCTCCGGAGGACGTGGTCGACGAAGGAGGGGCCGACGTCGACCTCGACGCAGGACGCCGAGCAGTGAGACGTCGAGTAGCGGGGCGTCATCTTCGTGACGCCGACCTCGGGAGGCCGACTTGGGTGGTCGGCCGACAACTGCACTGGTCGACGTGAAGCTGGTCGACCAGGAGTGACGTCGAACGAGGGTGTGGTCGGCCTGGTGAGGTCGACTGGAGGTGGCCGTCGACTTGGGAGGTCGACGGGCACGTACGGGAGCTGCTGGTCGACTTGGTTGCCTGGTCGACCAGGTTACCTGGGTGACGAAGTGCTGCGGAGGAATGCGACGGTCGCCCAGGCCAAGTTGGCGAGCCCGACCTCGGTGATGGTATCCCGAGGTCGTCGTGGCGGATCAGAGGCAGTCGTCAGCTCGAGGTTGACGTGGTGTGTGCGCTGTGCAGGTGACAAGACTCTGCACGCCAATCATCTGCGCGCACCTGCGAAGCGGGTGCTCTGCTGTTCTGCATGAGCAGCGCTGGCACGCCGTCAACCTGCGACGCCCCGCTACTCGACGCCCAACTGCTCGGCGTCCTGAGTCGAGGTCAACGTCGGCCCCTCCTTCGTCGACCACTAGGTCCAGTCGACCACTAACAGGTCGACCAGCAGTCCATTAGCCGACTGCCAAAGTCGGCTTCCCCAAGTTGACGTCACCAAGTTGACGTCCTCCGCAGGTCGACACCCAAGTCGACCTCCCTGAAGTCGGCGCCCGTGCAGTGGTCCCCCGTGCAGGTCGACCTCCTCGTCGACCAGTTCACCCACTGCTACAGGTTGGCTGTTCCCCCTCACATCCGACCACGAAGTCGGCTCCGCCCAAGCGAGGACGGGGCCAATACACAACTCCCGTTGACAGGTCAAGTCCCATATGAGCCAGCCCTTGTGGTCCTTCGCAAGTCCCAAGTGCACACCCCATCTTCGAGAAGCTTCCAACTCTCCCCTCTTCTCCTTCGGCACATGAAACACCACCATGCAGCCGTAGGCTCTCAGCATGTTGACTGCTGGTGCACTCCCATACCACTTGGTGTAAGGCACCCACTGCTTGTCCCCCACAGTTGCGAGCACCCGGTTCTTCAAAACAACGACCTGCCGCAGTGCAGTCACCCAAAACGGATCCGGCAGCCCTGCACGCCCAAGGAGAGTGCGAGCACCTTCCTGCAGGGTCCGGTTGAACCGCTCAGCCACGCCGTTCTGCTGAGGGTTGTAGGGCACCGTGAGCTGATGCTGGATCCCCTTCTTCTTCAGCACCGCCTCAAAAACAGCACCAATGAACTCTCCCCCATTGTCGGTGCGGATCACCTTCACTTTGTGTCCGCTCTCCCTCTGTGCTCTCGGCATCCACTCCTTGAGAACAGCCGCTGCCACCTCCCCCTTAGTCTTGAGAGGGTAGACCCACACCGCACGTGTGTGGTCATCCACAATGGTCAGGAAATAGCAGCTGCCTGAGAGAGAAGGGGCCCTCGTGGGGCCCACCACGTCCATGTGCACAAGTGCAAGTGGAGCCTTCGCTGGTCCCGTGCTGCTGCTGAAGGGAAACTTCGTGAACTTGGTCTCAAGGCATGTAGGGCAGCTCCCAATCACCCCGCCCCATTCTCCCACTTTCCATCACCCGCCCCATTCTCCCGCTTTCCATCACCCCGCCCCATTCTTCTGCTTTCCATCACCCCGCCCCATTCTCCCGCTTTCCATCACCCTGCCCCATTCTCCTGCTTTCCATCACCCCGCCCCATTCTCCCGCTTTCCATCACCCGCCCCATTCTCCCGCTTTCCATCACCCCGCCCCATTCTCCCGCTTTCCATCACCCCGCCCCATTCTCCCGCTTTTCATCACCCCGCCCCATTCTCCAGCTTTCCAACACCCCAGCCCATTCTCTCGCTTACCATCACCCCGCCCCCTTCTTCCTCCTTCCATCACCCCGCCCCATTCTCCCTCCTTCCTTCACCCCGCCCCATTCTCCCGCTTTCCATCACCCTGCCCCATTCTCCCGCTTTCCATCACCACGCCCCATTCTCCCGCTTTTCCATCACCCCGCCCCATTCTCCCTCCTTCCATCACTCCGCCCCATTCTCCCGCTTTCCATCACCCCGCCCCATTCTCCCGCTTTCCATCACCCCGCCCCCTTCTCCCTCCTTCCATCACCCCGCCCCATTCTCCCTCCTTCCATCACCCCGCCCCATTCTCCCGCTTTCCATCAGCCCGCCCCATTCTCCCGCTTTCCATCACCCCGCCCCTTTCTCCCGCTTTCCATCTCCGTGCCCCATTCTCCCGCTTTCCATCACCCCGCCCCATTCTCCCGCTTTCCATCACCCCGCCCCATTCTCCCGCTTCCCATCATCCCGCCCCATTCTCCTGCTTTCTATCACCCCGCCCCATTCTCCCTCCTTCCATCACCCCGCCCCATTCTCCCGCTTTCCATCACCCCGCCCCATTCTCCCGCTTTCCACCACCCCGCCTCCTTCTCCCTCCTTCCATCACCCCGCCCCATTCTCCCTCCTTCCATCACCCCGCCCCATTCTCCCGCTTTCCATCAGCCCGCCCCATTCTCCCGCTTTCCATCACCCCGCCCCTTTCTCCCGCTTTCCATCTCCCTGCCCCATTCTCCCGCTTTCCATCACGCCGCCCCATTCTCCCGCTTTCCATCACCCCGCCCCATTCTCCCGCTTCCCATCATCCCGCCCCATTCCCCCGCTTTCCATCACCCCTCCCCATTCTCCCCTCTTCCATCACCCCGCCCCATTCTCCCGCTTTCCATCACCCCGCCCCATTCTCCCTCCTTCCATCACCCCGCCCCATTCTCCCTCCTTCCATCACCCCGCCCCATTCTCCCGCTTTCCATCATCCTGCCCCATTCTCCCGCTTCCCATAACCCCACCCCATTCTCCCGCTTTCCATCACCCCGCCACAATCTTCCACTTTCCATCACCCCGCCCCCTTCTCTCTCCTTCCATCACCCCGCCCCATTCTCCCGCTTTCCATCAGCTCGCCCCATTCTCCCGCTTTCCATCTCCCCGCCCCATTCTCCCGCTTTCCATCACCCCGCCCCATTCTCCCGCTTTCCATCACCCCGCCCCATTCTTCCGCTTCCCATCATCCCGCCCCATTTCCCCGCTTTCCATCACCCCTCCCCATTCTCCCTCCTTCTATCACCCCGCCCCATTCTCTCACTTTCCAGCACCCCGCCCCATTCTCCCGCTTTCCATCACCCCGACCCATTCTCCCGCTTTCCATCACCCCGCCCCATTCTCCCTCCTTCCATCACCCCGCCCCATTCTCCCTCATTCCATCACCCCGCTCCATTCTCCCGCTTTCCATCACCCCTCGCCATTCTCCCGCTTCCCATAACCCCACCCCATTCTCCCGCTTTCCATCACCCCGCCACATTTTCCCACTTTCCATCACCCCGCCCCCTTCTCTCTCCTTCCATCACCCTGCCCCATTCTCCCTCCTTCCATCACCCTGCCCCATTCTCCCGCTTTCCATCACACCGCCCCATTCTCCCGCTTTCCATCACCCCGCCCCATTCTCCCGCTTTTCATCACCCCGCCCCATTCTCCCGCTTTCCAACACCCCGGCCCATTCTCTCGCTTTCCATCACCCCGCCCCCTTCTTCCTAGTTCCATCACCCCGCCCCATTCTCCCTCCTTCCTTCACCCCGCCCCATTCTCCCGCTTTCCATCACCCTGCCCCATTCCTCCGCTTTCCATCACCCCGCACCATTCTCCCACTTTCCATCACCCCGCCCCATTCTCCCGCTTTCCATCACCCTGCCCCATTCTCCCGCTCTCCATCACCCCGCGCCATTCTTCCACTTTCCATCACCCCGCCCCCTTCTCCCTCCTTCCATCACCCCGCCCCATTCTCCCTCCTTCCATCACCCCGCCCCATTCTCCCGCTTTCCATCAGCCCGCCCCATTCTCCCGCTTTCCATCACCCCGCCCCTTTCTACCGCTTTCCATCACCCCGCCCCATTCTCCCGCTTCCCATCATCCCGCCCCATTCCCCCGCTTTCCATCACCCCTCCCCATTCTCCCTCCTTCCAACACCCCGCCCCATTCTCCCGCTTTCCATTACACGCCCCATTCTCCCGCTTTCCATCACCCCGCCCCATTCTCCTGCTTTCCATCACCCAGCCCCATTCACCCGCTTTCCATCACCCGCCCCATTCTCCCGCTTTCCATCACCCCGCCCCATTCTCCCACTTTCCATCACCCCGCCCCATTCTCCCGCTTTTCATCACCCCGCCCCATTCTCCCGCTTTCCAACACCCCGCCCCATTCTCCCGCTTTCCATCATCCCGCCCCATTCTCCCGCTTTCCATCACCCCGCCCCATTCTCCCTCCTTCCATCACCCCGCCTCATTCTCCTGCTTCCATCACCCCGCCCCAGTCTCCCGCTTTCCATCACCCCGCCCCATTCTCCCGGTTTTCATCACCCAGCCCCATTCTCCCACTTTCCATCACCCCGCCCCATTTTCCCGCTTTCCATCACCCTGCCCCATTCTCACGCTTTCCATCACCCTGCCCCAATCTCCCGCTTTCCATCACCCCGCCCCATTCTCCCTCCTTCCATCACCCCGCCCCATTCTCCCGCTTTCCATCACCCCGCCCCATTCTCCCGCTTTCCATAACCCCGCCCCCTTCTCCCTCCTTCCATCACCCCGCCCCATTCTCCCTCCTTCCATCACCCCGCCCCATTCTCCCGCTTTCCATCAGCCCGCCCCATTCTCCCGCTTTCCATCACCCCGCCCCTTTCTACCGCTTTCCATCACCCCGCCCCATTCTCCCGCTTCCCATCATCCCGCCCCATTCCCCCGCTTTCCATCACCCCTCCCCATTCTCCCTCCTTCCAACACCCCGCCCCATTCTCCCGCTTTCCATTACACGCCCCATTCTCCCGCTTTCCATCACCCCGCCCCATTCTCCTGCTTTCCATCACCCAGCCCCATTCACCCGCTTTCCATCACCCGCCCCATTCTCCCGCTTTCCATCACCCCGCCCCATTCTCCCACTTTCCATCACCCCGCCCCATTCTCCCGCTTTTCATCACCCCGCACCATTCTCCCGCTTTCCAACACCCCACCCCATTCTCCCGCTTTCCATCATCCCGCCCCATTCTCCCGCTTTCCATCACCCCGCCCCATTCTCCCTCCTTCCATCACCCCGCCTCATTCTCCCTGCTTCCATCACCCCGCCCCAGTCTCCCGCTTTCCATCACCCCGCCCCATTCTCCCGGTTTTCATCACCCAGCCCCATTCTCCCACTTTCCATCACCCCGCCCCATTTTCCTGCTTTCCATCACCCTGCCCCATTCTCACGCTTTCCATCACCCTGCCCCAATCTCCCGCTTTCCATCACCCCGCCCCATTCTCCCTCCTTCCATCACCCCGCCCCATTCTCCCGCTTTCCATCACCCCGCCCCATTCTCCCGCTTTCCATAACCCCGCCCCATTCTCCCTCCTTCCATCACCCCGCCCCATTCTCCCTCTTTTCATAACCCTGCCCCATTCTCCTGCTTCCCATCACCCCGCCCCATTCTCCCTCTTTCCATCACCCCGCCCCGTTCTCCTGCTTTCCATCACCCCGCCCCATTTTCCCGCTTTCCATCACCCCGCCCTATTCTCGTGCTTTCCATCACCCCGCCCCATTCTCCCGCTTTCCATCACCCCGCCCCATTCTCCCGCTTTCCATCACCCCGCCCCATTCTCCCGCTTTCCATCACTACGCCCCATTCTCCCGCTTTCCATCACCCCGCCCCATTCTCCTGCTTTCCATCACCCCGCCCCATTCTTCTCCTTCCATCACCCCACCTCATTCTACCTCCTTCCATCACCCCGCCCCATTCTCCCGCTTTCCATCACCCCGCCCCATTCTCCCGCTTTCCATCACCCCGCCCCATTCTCCCGCTTTCCATCACCACGCCCCATTCTCCCGCTTTCCATCACCCCGCCCCATCCTCCCTCCTTCCATCACCCTGCCCCATTCTCCCGCTTTCCGTCACCCCGCCCCATTCTCCCGCTTTCCATAACCGCGCCCCATTCTCCCGCTTTCCATCACCCCGCCACATTCTCCCACTTTCCATCACCCCGCCCCATTCTCCCTCCTTCCATCACCCCGCCCCATTCTCCCTCCTTCCATCACCCCGCCCCATTCTCCCTCCTTTGATCACCCCGCCCCATTCTCCCGCTTTCCATCAGCCCTCCCCATTCTACCGCTTTCCATCACCCCGCCCCATTCTCTCGCTTTTCATCACCCCACCCCATTCTCCCGCTTTCCATCACCCCGCCCCCTTCTCCCTCCTTCCATCACCCAGCCCCATTCTCCCTCTTTCCATCACCCTGCCCCATTCTCCCACTTTCTATCAGCCCGCCCCATTCTCCCGCTTTCCATCACCCCGCCCCTTTCTCCCGCTTTGCATCTCCCCGCCCCATTCTCCGGCTTTCCATCACCCCGCCCCATTCTCCCGCTTTCCATCACCCCGCCCCATTCTCCCACTTTCCATCACCCCGCCTCATTCGACCTCCTTCCATCACCCCGCCCCATGCTCCCGCTTTCCATCACCCCGCCCCATTCTCCCGCTTTTCATCACCCCGCCCCATTCTCCCGCTTTCCATCACCCCACCCCATTCTCCCGCTTTCCATCACCCCGCCCCATTCTCCCTCCTTCCATCACCCCGCCCCATTCTCCCGCTTTCCATCACCCCTCCCCATGCTCCCGCTTTCCATCACCCCGCCCCATTCTCCCATCACCCCGCCCCATTCTCTCGCTTTCCATCACCACGCCCCATTCTCCCGCTTTCCATCACCCTGCCCCATTCTCCCGCTTTCCATCACTCCGCCCCATTCTCCCGCTTTCCATCACCCCGCCCCATTCTCCCGCTTTCCATCACCTCGCCCCATTCTTCTCCTTCCATCACCCCGCCTCATTCTACCTCCTTCCATCACCCCGCCCCATTCTCCCGCTTTCCGTCACCCCGCCCCATTCTCCCGCTTTCCATCACCCCGCCCCATTCTCCCGCTTTCCATCACCACGCCCCATTCTCCCGCTTTCCATCACCCCGCCCCATTCTCCCTCCTTCCATCACCCTGCCCCATTCTCCCGCTTTCCGTCACCCCGCCCCATTCTCCCGCTTTCCATCACCTCTCCCCATTCTCCCGCTTTCCATCACCTCGCCCCATTCTTCTGCTTTCCATCAACCCGCCCCATTCTCCCGCTTTCAATCACCCCGCCCCATTCACCCGCATTCCATAACCCGCCCCATTCTCCCGCTTTCCATCACCCCGCCCCGTTCTCCCGCTTTCCATCACCCCGCCCCATCCTCCCGCTTTTCATCACCCCGCCCCATTCTCCCGCTTTCCAACACCCCGCCCCGTTCTCCCGCTTTCCATCACCCCGCCCCGTTCTCCCCCTTTCCATCACCCCGCCCCATTCTCCCGCTTTCCATCACTCCACCCCATTCTCCCGCTTTCCATCACCCCGCCCTATTCTCCTGCTTTCCATCAACCTGCCCCATTCTCCCTCCTTCCATCACCCCGCCTCATTCTCCCTCCTTCCATCACCCCGCCCCTTTCTCCCGCTTTCCATCACCCCGCCCCATTCTCCTGCTTTCCATCACCCAGCCCCATTCTCGCGCTTTCCATCACCCCGCCCTATTTTCCCGCTTTCCATCACCCCGCCCCATTCTCCCGCTTTCCATCACCCTGCCCAAATCTCCTGCTTTCCATCACCGTGCCCCATTCTCCCTCCTTCCATCACCCCGCCCCATTCTCCCGCTTTCCATCACCCTGCCCCATTCTCCCGCTTTCCATAACCCCGCCCCATTCTCCCTCCTTTCATCACCCGCCCCATTCTCCCTCCTTCCATCACCCCGCCCCATTCTTCCTCCTTCCATCACCCCGCCCCATTCTCCCACTTTCCATCGGCCCGCCCCATTCTCCCGCTTTCCATCACCCTGCCCCATTCTCCCGCTTTCCATCACCCTGCCCCATTCTCCCGCTTTCCATCAGCCCACCCCATTCTCCCGCTTTCCATCACCCCGCCCCATTGTCCCGCTTTCCATCACCCTGCCCCATTCTCCCTTCTTCCATCACCCCGCCTCATTCTACCTCCTTCCATCACCCCGCCCCATTCTCCTGCTTTCCATCACCTCGCCCCATTCTCCCGCTTTCCATCACCCCGCCCCATTCTTCTGCTTTCCATCACCCCGCCCCATTCTCCCGCTTTCCATCACCCCGCCCCATTCACCCGCTTTCCATCACCCGCCCCATTCTCCCGCTTTCCATCACCCCGCCCCATTCTCCCGCTTTCCATCACCCCGCCCCATTCTCCCGCTTTTCATCACCCCGCCCCATTCTCCCGCTTTCCAACACCCCGCCCCATTCTCCCGCTTTCCATCACCTCGCCCCATTCTCCCGCTTTCCATCACCTGGCCCCATTCTCCCTCCTTCCATCACCCCGCCCCATTCTCCCGAATTCCATCACCCCACCCCATTGTCCCGCTTTCCATCACCCCGCCCCAATCTCCCGCTTTCTATCATCCCACCCCATTCTCTCGCTTTCCATCACCCCGCCCCATTCTCCCGCTTTCCATCACCCCGCCCCATTGTCCCGCTTTCCATCACCCCGCCCCATTCTCCCACTTTCCATCACCCCAGCCTATACTCCCGCTTTCCATCTCCCCGCCCCATACTCCCGCTTTCCATCACCCCGCCCCATTCTCCCGCTTTCCATCACCCCGCCCCATTCTCCCGCTTTCGATCGCCCCGCCCCATTCTCCCTCCTTCCACCACCCCGCCCCATTCTCCCTCCTTCCATCACCCCGCCCCATTCTCCCTCCTTCCATCACCCCGCCCCATTCTCCCGCTTTCCATCACCCCGCTCCATTCTCCCGCTTTCCATCACCTGCCCCAATCTCCCGCTTTCCATCACCCCGCCCCATTCTCCCGCTTTCCATCACCCCGCCCCAGAATCCCGCTTTCCATCACCCCGCCCCATTCTCCCGCTTTCCATCACCCCGCCCCAGAATCCCGCTTTCCATCACCCCGCCCCATTCTCCCGCTTTCCATCACCCTGCCCCATTCACCCGCTTTCCATCACCCCGCCCCATTCTCCCGCTTTCCATCACCCCGCCCCATTTTCCCGATTTCCATCACCCCGCCCCATTCACCCTCTTTCCATCACCCCGCCCCATTCTCCCGCTTTCCATCACACTGCCCCATTCACCCGCTTTCCATCACCCCGCCCCATTCTCCCGCTTTCCATCACCCCGCCCCATTCTCCCGATTTCCATCACCCCGCCCCATTCTCCCGCTTTCTATCACCCGTCCCCATTCTCCCGCCTTCCATCACCCCGCCCCATTCTCCCGCTTTCCATCACCCTGCCCCATTC